TGCTGTCGATGGCAATTTGCGACATGTCACACACACACACACACACTCGTGCACACATGGGACAACTACTTATTCATGTCGCTTGCAACTATGCACCAATAAAGCAACAAAAAGCCATTTAACTGCCTTCACTTTCGCGGCTATATAACGGTCGGTCTTTTACTACAACAGCACAGCGGCCAACCGACTGCAGCGTGTCTGCATTTTGCTAGCGTTTTTCTTATTATTTTATTTCCGTATGGTTTTTCGGTAATAATGGCGTACAAATCTCAGCGTTTTGGTGGCGCACAAAATAAATATTTGTGTTAATTTTTTTATGACTTCGCCATTGTTTGTACGAATTTTATTTTCTGATTTAAATTTTTTTTTTTGTAGGCAAAAAAATACATACATATAATTTTCCCATTTTTCTTCTATTTCGTTTTATTTTTTTACTTTACTTCATTTTTCACTACACTTTTATTTTCGTTAAAAAATTTGCATTTTTTGCTTGTAAATTTTACTGCCAGTTTCTATTTTCTTCTGCGCTCTATTTAATTTCCTCGTTTCACTTTCATATTCGAGGTTAGTATAACAACTGTCACTTTCAGTTGTTAGTTGATGAATAAAATAATTTAGTGCGCAGGCATTTTTAACCTCCCAGTAGTTTATCAACAAGCTTTAAATGCAAAATGTAACAACAGAAACCTTAGCAAAAATATAATTAAAAATTTGTTTTAAATTCCTTAATTTTTATTCGAAAACAAAAATTTTCATTATAGAGAATTTTGGCTGTAAAATTAGATAAAATTCAACCAAACAAATATCAATTTCATTGGTGCGGAAAATAAAACATAAACAATTTTGTTTGAAATTTTGCTGCAAAAAATATTTTTCCATAATTTTTCGACATTCAAGTAGGATTTTTTAAGAGTTGAAAACATTAGCAAAAATAAATTTGTATTTTCATATTTTTAGTAATTTTTCGACGTTCAAGTAAGATTTATTTAAGAGTTAAAATCCTTCGAAAAACATTAATTATTAATTTATTGTATTCGCACTGTTAAAATATCAACTTTTTCTATATTTTGTATAATAATTAATTATTATTATAATTAATTATAAATTTATCGTAAGTATTTGCACTGTTAAAATACCATCTTTTTATATTTTGTCGTTTCTTTTTAAGTTCCCTAAGTCTTATTCGAAAACAACAAATTTTCAAATTTATTACTTTATTAAAAATTTTTCTATGCATTGCATTTTTTTTTTAAACTTTCTCTCTTCCATTTTTACGCATATTACCTAATGTAAATTAAATGTTTTTATTCAAATTTATGCTAAAAATTTTCATTAGCCCAAAATACTCATTGTTGTCAAATATATGTAATGCCTGAAATTTTTAATAAGTTTATCAACCACTTAATTAAAATGAATAAAAGCTCAAACAAGTTTCTTTGCATAAAAAACTTTATTTCATTGCTTTGAAACTTTTGAAATTTTGCAAATTTCTTCATCTCAAATTGTGGTTTTGAATAAAATTTTAGATCCGTTCGACTTATTCTAAATTTATAGTTACATGGACTTCAATTTTTTTAATAGTATTCACTTTTTTAATCTTGCATCGTTACCAAATTTTTATTAAGAAATTTTATTTAGCCTGGCACCTGGCAAAAATAATATTTGTTTTCTCAAAACATTTTTTCTTAAAAACTCCGTCAGGCTCCACACAAATATTAATTAAAAATTAACAAAACAATGTGTAGATAATTTTTTTACGTTTGTTTTTGTATATACTCCTGGTTTGAAAATTTAATGTTAATATTTTTTATTTGTTCAAAAATTTTTTTGAGCTTGGGCCTATTTTGTGGAAACGCAACAATAATTTATCATTTGGTAGAAGTTATAGTTGCTATTTTGAAGATCACTACATCTTCCCATCAGACTTCTTCATCGAGGTCGCTGGGATATAAACCAGCGACTGCGTATCTATTGCAAAGCCCGTGTCACCCACTGTGCTAAGTTCGCCTTGTAATCGTGGTTGCTTTTCCAATTTTGTCAATATGGTTAACCCAATATTTGTAATATTTTATTGTTGCAAAAGCTTATTTTAGTTTTTTATACTAGTAAATTTTTTACTTTTAGAAGTTATTCAAATTTTTAAACTTTTCATTTTTTTTCAAAACTCAATTTTATAATAAATCGCACGAAAGTGAAGTATGCGTTGTCTTTTTTTACCGCTTTTGCCATATTATAGTACTTTTTTGATGTGCTCACTTAAATCATTTTCGCATATTTGCTTTTTTGTTTAAATATATAATTTTTAATAATAACATTCGCCTCCCCTAACTTGAGCAATTATCGCCTAACGCCAACTAATAACTTAAATAAATAATGCTTCTTTTTATAATCCGGCGTATTATGTAAAGCTTTTGAATATTTAAATTGAGCGAACGAACCTTTATTGCTTGCGAAAAAATATCAAATGCTCGCAACAAGCAAAAGATCGCACAAAGGCCGGGAATATATATTTAATGCAGCGGACAGGTTGATGTTACACAAAAAACGTAAAAATGTTCAAAAAGATATAAAATTTAGTAATAATAATTTCATGGCTCACGTTTCAAACGTTGGAAGTGCAAGTAAAGAACATCAAAAATCATTTCACAAGCTTTTAATAAAAATTAATTTTTATATGCAACAAACATTCAAATTAGGCGCTGACGAATTTTGGAAAGGTGTCTGCTTCATTTTAGTGATTGTTTGTTTGCAAAAAAATTATTGTTAGGTGCATGAAAAATCGCTTAGATTTATTGCCAATTAAATGTCCATACATTGATTTGTTGCTATGAGCTTTCAGAGTCTCCGCTTTGAATTTCCATAATTTTGCACAGTCACACCAAATGTGCGCATAAATGTTTATTTGTAGCAACTGTCTTTCACTTTTTCCCACCACACCTGCCTATCCGCTCTTCCCCTAGTTGCTATATCATTAAATTTATGTGGCTCTAATTGCCGCGAGATTTGCACCCAAAAACAGTTCATGTGATTAGAGTGGAAAATTGTTGGCTTTTATATGGCAAATGTGGTGATATAATCGGCTAGATGATATAATCGCCAATAATGACTTTTATTTATGCAGTTAAATTTTGACTTTTTAAATTATTACGCTAAAATTCAATTTTTTTCAATGTAAACTTCGCTTTTCTATTACTTCTGTCCTTTTTTGCTCAGTACATCTACTAAATAAACATTATTTTTCATAATTTTTTCTATATATATTTTTTGTGAATTATTAAAAAAAAAACTGTTTTGCAATTATTTAAAAAAAAAGTTGGCGTCCGTTTTTAAAACAATTTAAATTTATGATAATTTTAGATTTTCTGTTTTTTATAAATTTTTTATTTTACTGGTAGGGAAAAGTTCCGCAACAACAATAAATGCATACTTAATTACACGCTAAGCGAATAACCGCAAGCAGGCCAATTACCAAATGCATTAAAATTTTATAGCCATTGTAAAGCAAGAACGCAAATATTAAAAGTCTCTAGTGTGGTTGGCAAAAAATTAACAGCAGCCTTAGTTAAGGCTTTAAATAAAAAATTTATGGGCAACGTGGATTTTCATGTGCATATCGCACACCATCTTCAAAAGGGCCACAACTCAAAAATTATTTCGGTAGATTTTGATGCATAAATCAATTCGTAGGATATATCTCCAATTAATTCAGACATTTTTCTCTTCGTGATTATATTCACCAACTAGAAAACTACTTTTATACCCGTTTGTGTATTAATTGCGTTTAATCTGTACCATCCACAAGCAGTTAAATTTTTTTTGGATCTGATTCTTGAGTTGTGCCGCTTTTGAAGAAGGTGTGCGATATGTATGTCCATTAAAATGCGTAAAAAAAAAAAATCATGCAATACCACCGGACCCCACTTAAATTTTAGTATTTGGTAGTGTAATGATACTCCATGAATCTGCCCTCTCTTCGATAACTCGTAACAGGTCGCGCTTCGAGCCTTTATTTTTTCTCATAGCAATATTTCCATTACCAATACCATTAACAACCCCAATATCATTGCCCATAAAATTACCATCACCACCTCCAGCCAGCAGTGGCGTAACTTATAACAAAGACTCGCTATCACCTTTGACCGGCGTCAAGCATGCCAGAGTGTGGCGACACAATTTACAGTGTTCATTGCATTTTACACCATCCGGATTTGCCCCGCATTTTTTCTAGTTTTATTTTATTTTATTTTGTTTTCGCGATTTTTCTCCATATACAGCGCCTCGTTGTTTACAAATACATACGTACGTATGTATGTATGTATGTATGTACATCTAACAACTGCGCTGCGCATTTCTGTATCCACACTTGCATTTTTATGCCTTTTATTTTGATATAATTTTTCTTTTTTTTCCTAACTATAATTCTAACCATACTTTTTCACTTTCATTTTCTGCCAATGGGCTTTGGAAAAACCTTGAGCCAATTTGCTTACTCACTTTTTTCCTGGCTACACAATAATACGGTGACATGCATGCATAGTATGTACTTAAGAACATGCCCTTTAGGAAATTTTCTTAAGAAACAGTGTATAAAGTACATTTTTTTAAGTTCTCTAATCTAGCTTTATATGCCAAAGCAAATATTTCTTATGTCACTTTTTAAAGGATTTTTTAATAATTTAAAATTTTCTTTATTTTTTTCAGATCGAGCTGTAACCAATTATTTTAGGGTGAGTTGAAAACTAGTGATTAATTTATTAAATGAAATTAATTTTGTTAAATTTATGCATATAAAGTTATATATACAGGGCCGCCGAGAGAAAATTTGTGTCCCAGACTGAAAAATAACGTTCAGCACGAATCGAAATATATTTATAATCAGGGCGGTACTCGCTATGAGTAAAATAATTAAAATCGGCATTTAATCATTATTTTATGATTTTTATTTTCTTCGCTTAAAATTAATAATTGTAATTAAGTTTTATTTTTTCGCTCAACAGAAATAAGTGTTTCAATTTATTTGGAAATAATTATTAATTGATTTTTTTCGCTCAGAGATAAAAATCATTATTGAGTTTTATTTTTGCACTTAAAAATAATCATTATTTGTAAAACTTAAAAGGCCATACAGAAGCACTGTATAGAAATTCTGACCTGAAAATTTTGGGACTTAATCCTTTCGTTAGGATGTCGCCACCTCTGGATAGGATAAGTCGAATATCACGCGGGTATAGCTTTTGAGTTTTTTAAATGTTCATTATTCTTAAGTAAAAAATAAAACTCAGTAATAAATAATATCTGAGGGAAGAAATAAAGGTCATAAAATAATCATTATCTTTTATCGGAAAAATAAAAATCATTGTAAATAAAAGTAGAACGTACGAACACAAATATATGAGTATAGTTAAAATTATTTTACAACGACTACAACTTGTTCCGTCCCTGTTTATAATATTTAAAAGCCTTTAACGAAAGAGCAATTATATTGTAAAAAAAAAAATAATAACAAGTTATGTTTCTGATATTTTAGGCCCCTTAAAAAGCTCGGGCCCGGGGGGATTGACCCCTTTCGCCCCTCCCTCTCGACTGGCCTGGTTACAACTAGCATTTTTGAGGTCAGTTCGAAACTCATTTTCAAATAACTGTCACTTTTAATTTAATTAAAGACAAATGAACGTCTTCTAACTCTTTCATGTGAAATCTGTATTTCGGCCATTGAAAGTAGGCTTGCGATTACTGACACTCTTTCCGTATTCCTTATGCAGGCACGCTCAATTGCCACTACGTTTTTAACACACTAAAGTCGCAGCAGAATTTCCTACAGCCCACTTGGCAGCCTACCAACACTGCCACGCACGCACACAGTCAAATGTGTTCGCTTGCCAACAATGCGGTTGACTTTTGCAGCTAACTGGTGCAACGTTGAGCTTTTTGTCATTATAGTTTATTTTACACATTTTTCTACATTTATTCATGCATCGACCGCGGACACAGAGAGACATAACTAAGACTGCAATTTTAGTAGTTTTGCTCATTTCGTTTTCAATAGAAAAAATTTGCAACTTTTTGAAACTTTTTTCAACTTAAAACTAATATTTTTTCGTGAAATGTTAGTTTTTAGTTTAAACATATTTTGTAGTTTTTAACCTTTTTCTATTCGCTTTTTAACCAGTTTTTCTTTTAGCTTTATAAATTCTTCCAAGCGAAAACCAAGTAGCTGCGGCCTTGCTTTTGTGCATTTTATTCTACATAATTAAAATCAACTGGCATAAGTTATAGCGCCTGTCGCTGATAACTAAATAGCAAAAATTATTTTTAAATATCTATTTTTGTATGTATGTATATACATACATACATATATGTATGTACATTACAAATTTAAATTTCATAAACGATCTCGCTTAAAAAAGTTTGAAAAATACAAGTCGAACAAGTTTTCCACTTAATGATTTTTTTTACTTTCCATTGCAAGTAGTTGCAAAATCTTTTAAGAATATATAAAAATGATTTGTTTCAGTTTACAGTTTCCTGACTTTTGAAGTGGCGGCAGCACTCGAGATTTTTTTTTATTAAACTTTATTAACCTTGACTAAAACATAAAAATAAATATTTTTCACCTATATCCAGGTAAAGTGTTTGGCCGAGCTTTTGCTCCAATTTTTGGGGATGCATCTTGATGTTAATAGCATCAAATCTTACAGTTTTGCGCCAACTCCAATCCGCAAATGAGGAGCTTTTCCATGCCAGAAGTAGCCTTGACGGTTTGTCATTGTCCGTCGAGGGGGGAACGTACCTATGAAGGTTTCTACCGGGTGGAATTACGCACCTCTTACCACTCGCCTACGGCGGTCACTCTTCTTCTAGTTTACTCACTATTCAGTGAAAATCTATGCATTTTCTGCTCGCTCAGCATAGCTAAATAATTTGGAACCTCGAAAGATGTAACTCTCCTATCGTACCTCCTGAGTTATCTCAAGAGCATTAGTATGGTAAAGGCACTGAGCAGCCAGAAGCAGGGATAAAGAGAGTTTTCTGAGTTGTACTTCTGTAGGGCGCCTTTGGATGGGTTAGCAAAATAATCGAAACAACTGGGAATGCTCAGATGACATATAAGTATTCAATAATATAAATTAGATAAAAAATGAGTGGTCTTGCCAATTGTGGCCTTGTAGTTAGAAAGACAAGTATGTGAGCCGATGAGAGCCAGGGGAAGATTACACCTACGCGTTGCTACCTATTATCGTAAAAGAAAACTGGAGGGGCATGCATCTGGCAATTACTATTTCGATTGTAGTGAGTACTTTGAGATGTACCTATTTATTTTTATTTTTTGAAATGTCAGTTAAGCTACTCTGTCTTTCAAAGCCTCATATGTGTAAAAGTTGTGAAAAGCCCTACGAGATTCTTACTTCTTATGTTTTTGAAGTCAGTTAATCTCGTGCAAGACGTATAGGGTATATACAGGTTCGGAGTGCCACCTCGTTTTGTTTCTGGGAAATTTTTCTTTCCGATGGCTCCCCTCTGTCGCAAATTTGGTTTCATACCAGGTGTAGTCTTTCTACTTCTGTGTTCTTTTTCAGATATCAAGCGGATGTACGTTGGCTTTTTAGACACACCGAACTCGAGTTCATTAGAAAATCTTACAGTCGGTTTGATGAAACCCGTTTATATAATAAGTCTCCTTTCGTCTTCTCGCAATTCCATTCGGCGAACATGTGCTTCAAACCCTCTGGATGCATATTACCAAATCGCCTTCGATTTCACACCTCTGAGTTCTCTGGTTAAGAAGTTTACACTAATATCATATATCCTCTCGAAGCACATTTTTTGCCCGTCACTGTAAATTTTTTTTTATTCTAGTTCGCTTCAGTTTTCTTTAATCCTTTCTTGTCTTAACCGCTAGAGACTTCTCTCCGAATTTAGGCTGATGTCGTGGCCCGCACCATGGTGGTGATATCTGTTTTCTTTGTCCAAGTGCCGTTTGTTTAAAAATCGAAGGATGTTCCCATTCTGAGCAGAGGGTACCTAGCCGTAGCTGTAGGTCTGCTAACAGGTAATGTTGCCATAAGGACTTCTGCAGAAGCTGCAGAATGGATAAGAGCCAGAAACCTTGCGGTACCTGTTATGCGAATGACCGAGTAGAAGAAGACGAAATTTTATGGGTTTAGGATTCTTTGAAGACCTAGCCGACATAGCCGATGTAGGCATATGGAAACTTCTGGGTTTCGCGAAATCCTCACGATGGTTTGAGTAGGAGGGTTCTAACGATCCGCGTGATATCACAACGGACCCAAATTCTAAGGGCCTATGTGTGCTAGTGGGGTCACTGGCAGCCACTTCAACCTGACCTAACCTAACCATCCCGATGGTAAAGTTCTTAACCCTGAAAAAGACCGATGTGGTAACAAGGGGCGTGTTCCGACGTATCGTCGGTCTCAAGGGAAAATCGGTTTTCTATCTAATGCACAGACCAACCTTTTGTTTATGAAAACGCTGTCGGTTATAACCGGTTGAATATCCAGCTGCCCGCTAACCAAAGAGCATGTTCTGTCTAGGGACTTCGCCTGCTGGTACTTACTGCGTCCTAAGTCTACCCCCTATAGCTGGTTCCGATCGCATGAAATCAGATGAATAATCCTCTTTTGCCTGAGAATATACTCCCAAAGTTGGATTTGCTCCAACTTGTCTTCTTAATATCAGTGCGACTTTGTATCATTTATTAGTATAGCTGAGAATTTGGTAGATGTTATGGAGTACTCGACCTTGTGATCTGGGGCTCAGAGGTCAGAAAAAGACCTCATTTAAAGAGTCTGTCTTAGCAAAGTAGGAAAGTAAGTACGAAGTCGGCTAGCAAACCAACTCATATAGTACCCTGATACCAAGCTGATAAGGAGACTTTCTTAAACTTTAATCATGTGCTTTTACGCCTTCATTTCTTGTGAATTTAATGCAAAATTAGTCCACTGCGACCATCCAATCGGCCTAGTTTCCACTACACATTTAAAGCCCACCTCAGGTGCAGCTTTCTCCTTTTACCTATTATTTGAGCCAGATCTATCTGTATTCGTGCGCATCCATACTCAATTACACAGCAATTTTAAAAGTTTAATGCAGTTAAAATTACAAATTAAAAATTAATATCGACCAAAGCACTTGGCTGGCCTGCAATAGCCACCGCGTAGCCCTCCTCTCCATCGTCCATGCCCGAGCAGCGCGTATTCTACCTTTACAGCTGGCAATTTTGGCAAGGAAATTGGAATTTTTTTCTATTAGCATCCACTATGCATACTATTTTAATGCGCCATTGCACTAAATCAACGACTTCAACTATGATTTGCTCAGCTAAACTCGATTGCAAAGGCGCAGCAGTAACAGAGGCAGCCGTCAGCCAACACTGACAGCATCAAAAGCTACGCGGCTACTGGATTTACACTCCATGCAACAGTTTTCTTGCTTAAGTGCTGCCTCTTTCCCGCTTACTCTCCCTCTCTCTTGCTCCTGCAAACTCCTAAGCTTCGACTATGCTTAGGCTACAGGCTTCGATGTTTGCTTGCTTGCCAACAGCAGCCACTAAATACGAATATTAAATTTTATTCATTTCATCTTTTGCCATTCAAATGCATTTTGCATGCAAGATGAGCTTCACTACTGGGCTGGATAAGAGAGCGTCGCATGTGGGGCAGATGTGGCATGGAACTCCAAGTCATGTGAGGCAGGCCTTTGGCAGACATCTTTGCTTTCGCATTCTTGATTGCATTCAC